CTCTAAATGCCAGGAACTTGTTGTTCCTCCCATCGGTGCACTAAAATCCTGTTTAATCAACCGCCTTAAAGTCGGGGATTGCGATAGTACAATGCAAGTATTTGTTATCCTCAAACAGAAAGCCCAAAATGTTTAGTCGAATAGATTGTGCTTAGGTCTTCCAAAACTGTTAGATTGTCGTGTGATTCCCATAACGCCGTGCCACTCCTCATGCTTCAGTAACACAGCTGCTCAGGAAAGAAAGTAGATCCTCTTACTAGAAAGCAATAAAATACTCTTATGTTTGTGCCCAGCAAACTTCTCAACACTGCGGTGTCAGTATTTTTTACTCATTCTAAACACTTGAATAAAGTGAGGGGATGGGTTCTGTGACTCACATTGATAAAAGGAAATGACACTTTAAAGGGTATCGTCTTGCCCTCATAAATCAAAGGTAGAATGTGCTCTACTTAATAATCAAAAGTAGAATAGATTTTCCTCTATTGTAAGGATCAATTTTATATAACAAAATTGCTGACTAGTCTTCCCATTGCATGACTTTGATCTTTAGGACCAACCGAGTGACCCACTGATTGTGCACGCATGAAGTGACTTGCAATTTACTCACTTTTCGCATCGCATTAGGACTAAGCTCGACTGGTACGCCAGCGAAAGTAGCCGTCCTTGAAATTTATGCATTAAGATGTACCTCTTGAATCAGCAGCGCCCTCTACTGGAGGGATGGAGGTATTTCCAAAACAGTTTAAATAACTCTTAGGCTTTTAATGATTCAAAATTAATTGTCAGCGAGGTTATGTAGGGCTTGATGACTCGGTAGTCATCATGCTTGTTGCATCAATCCCATTGTCGACTAAGTTGTAGGTCTGGAATAATACCTTTTAATTTAACAAATTAACTGGCAGCTTTGGGTAGGTTGGAATACAAAGTGGAGCCGATTAGCGTGTCTTTGTTGACGTGTGGTTACGGGTGGTGGGTGACCTATCAAATGAGAAGCTAAAATAAGTGATATCGCAAAGTAGCGATAAGCAGTGTGAAGTCTCCACTTTTGCAACAATTACCCTTTGGGATTGGAGATCTCTCAGCTCTCTATTTAATTTATCAATCCATTCAAGTTTTATTGGCGTAATGACCCTATTCCCTGTGATTTAACGATAAGAACGGATTAACTTCCCAGCGAGGCACGATGTCGCCTTGCTGCAGAGTGATTCACGGTGATTTCAAAGTATAGCGTCATGTGGGCTACTTGAGGCGGTGAAGCCCTCAGCGCCTTTGACTGAGATACTGTCTGTCGGCGTGAGAGGTTCGCTACTGCCTGCTGTAGGATATGTATCTCGATGATAGATCCTCTGCCGACAAAAGTTAACGACTTTTGATTGCAATGTCCCCATCAGTGCATAGAAATCCCCTAGTGTAAACGTATGCGCAACCCTTAAATGTTCCCATCTTATATAACGCAACTGTATCATTAAACAAACTCGCCACTTGGTCTTAATCTCTTTGCAGAAGGTTGTATGGTTTGAAATTATCGTATTCATACGTCAATAAGAATCTTCGACTAGCGCCAAAAATGTTGCAACTGTAACATGCATTCTCTCACAATTCATCTAATAGTTGTATGGCTTTGAAATTGAAGGGATTTGAATTGCCTCATTTTACTTACATAGCTTCGGATTGTTAAGGTCCGCTTTCTACTTAAAAAGTGTTTGACATCCATAGGATGACGGCTTCGAACAAGTGATTAAACCAGGATTGGAGCCTAAGAAATGCGCTTGCCAAGGACCAGTTGCACGCTTTGGTTTGTTCTCATTCTCTCACTTCAACTTTCGATCTTGGAGAAGACTAATATCATCCAAGCTGCAGAGTAGCGCTGGAAAGCTCATATTGCGTCAGGCGACCCAATTAATCCACCGAAATGGACCATTTCAAATCCACAAAATAATAACTGAGGCTCCATTTGAGCGTTTACTTGAGTGAGTCATGTTTTTATGATCCCGCATTAATACTAAAAGGTGTTGGGTACTTTCATGAGAAAATTAATTCCATTATTTTCCGAATTCGGTTAAGTTTGCGTAGGAGCTTACCCGTTGTAAATGTCATCCTCATTAACTGCTTCGTCTAAGGTTTTGTCGCGCGCAATTTTTCGACAATATCATAAATCACGCCACTTAATTTGGCTTTTATGCTTCATTCAAGGCATGTAAACGTGCTCAATCCTTTCAAATGTAAAAGCACGTGACAGCACCTTAAGCGGTCTCCCCTCCCCAACAATTGAAGCCTCGGTGAACGCCTTCTGCTCGTTTAGTTTTACACACAGCCCTTCTTGTAAGACTACTTATTCAGTACACGGAATCACCATAAACTGAAAGTTTTGGTGAAGTTGAGAGAACAAAAATTGAGAAGATAGGTTTACCTGACCTGAGCGTGCACATTAAATGAGAGAGAGCCACATTTGCAGGAAGAAATAGACACAAATAAGGCAGACTTTAATGTATTACTGCTTCATTGACAAAGGCAAAGGAAAGAGGGCATAAAAAACTCTGATTGCATCACTTTAGTCAATTCAAAGTTGTAGGTTTAAGTATGGCAGGAGTCAATTTGGAAGCATTGTTTTCCATCATTACGCTCCCTTGATGGATTTGATGTTTACAACCACAGTGCTTTCTCGCCTTTTGCCTAAGTTATTGCATAAACTCTAAATAAGATGTTTATTTCGCAAGAGGGGTCTGAAAAACACCATAGACCATTTTTTTGTACACAAAAGCCAAATTAGAGCCCTGGCGATGGGCGCAAACAGACCAAAAGCGTCCCTCGGCAATATAGCAGCTCCATCCTTCACCGTAAACTTTTTCCAGTCGCCGTCGAATTTCCTCAATAGTCTCCTACGAAAATTTGCATAATGCGGGTTCACGAATTGTCCACTGGGTACCAGTGTTCTCAGCGAGTCATTGAGGTACTAACTGACGCAAGTGCTTACCTTTTTTTGTCTCCTCTCTGAGACTACTTCGAGCATGAGGAGGATTATTGACTCCCGTTTCATAGATGACATGTCAGACTCAATCACTTCCACGTCCCTAAGAATCGCGGGTCTAAGAGGAAACGCACACATCGATTAGTTTTGAAGCTCCACCGTCGATGCAAACATGACAGCTGTAGACTCACTGATTCGGCCAGCATTTGAGAGTGTCGCAGAGGGCCTCTCGTGTGATTGTGCCTTTGCCCGTTGGATCAATGGAAGAACATATTCGCTAATTTAAAAAACGCTCTGTGGAAAAGGTCATCTACTTACCGATGCAACGCCTTCATCGATGCCCCACTTAAGTAGATATTTATGATAAGTCTTTGTCGAAATGCCTGGCAGAACGGGTAAGATTATTATTGCCGACACATTACCTATTTGGGATTCGGTGAGCTCATCATATAAATGAACGAGCTTTTCTGGTTGCGCAGACCGCTCCATTTTATTTGTGGGCTCAAACCTGCAAGGGTGTGTGAAGTGAAATTCCTTAATTTGATACAGCAGTTTTATAGCAGCGTAAAATGGCACTGCTCTGCATGTGCCGTACTGTAGGATCCGTTGACGAGATTAATGCCGTCATTGGCGCATTTTTGAGCACCCAACACCCACTCTCAAGCTAACGCAGTCGCTTTGATTAATTTGAAGCAACGCATCAAATGTGGCACCATCGTGGCCCACTTCAAAAATGAGTCATTTACTAACTGCAATGAATAAGTTGGTTTGATGCAAGGAGGCTGATGACCTTTCAAACGCTGCGCTCCACATTACGTCATATTCCGAGTACTTGAAAGAGAAACTTCTATACGGCTTTTTGTAAAACGTTTGCCTTGGGTTTTTTTTGCCCTGTTAAAATAAGTTTAAGGTACGGGGGTATGGATCTATGCTAGGCTATCCAAACATCTCATTTACTTAACTGTCTACTTTTAATGTAGATAAACAAACAGTATTGTGCATCCACTTTATGGAGCAGATGCATTTTGCAATGAGCAAACCATGATGCATCTTCTCATCAATTGTGACTTTAATTTTTCGCGCATCTTCGCTATTAGTTCGATGCTATGCACTTTTCTTAGTACACCTCATCCTCATCAGGCATAAAAACAAATTTCGGACGATGCTACTATTTGCTTTCTCTTTCTGGAAATAATTATGAACATTTTTGGAGCTGAACTTCGTGGTTATTATATAGGTACCATCTGTGTATCTCCAGTCTTCCCAACCTATTTACTACAAAATTGTACACAGCACTTGGCTATCACGTTAGCATGGCGTTACCACCAAGTCTATTAGCTAATTGAAGGAGTAGAGCCTCACCAAAGTGTTATGGCTTTGAACAAATGCACAAATCACCGTAAGGACATGCAAAAACACTACTGAGGAGGAGCAGACTCCAGCAAATTGGTTTGACTCTTTCAAACCAAACATCCTATGCTATTTTTTGCTTGCTTCATTCATAAACAATGAAAATTACACAAACGTGAGGAATTTATTCATTATAAGTCGACATGAACCATCAGCTACAATGACACACTTGGTTTTATGGGAAACAGAAATGTTGGATCAGTGCGTGGAGCTAACTGCAGCACAGACGTAGTTGCTATCGTCAGCACATCGTTCTGGTGAGTGATAGACGCCATAGACAACGCCCTGGTATGAGAAGACAAGATTGCCGCCAGGTCTGTGCGTGCAGACAGCCCAGTAGTGGCCATTGGCTATGAAGACGTTCCATTGTGGGCCATAAATGTTCTCAACCTCTCGCTTTATTTCCGCTACTACATCCTAAAAGTAAAATGCCAGTGAGAAAGGTCTGCCTTGAACATTTTTTTCGTATTACCCAATACCTTTACACCTTTATTCTAAAGGCTAAAATTTTTATCTACTTTTGTTATTCAGTAGATAATTACTACGTCATCTAAGTTTTCCACATCCCACTATAAATCGCAATAGGCTTCTCCGAAATTCACACATACATTTAAATAATCGACAAAAACATCGTTGGTCTTACGTATTAAATGTCTAAGTCATAACAATTAATATCTAAGTTGATGACTTATACCTTTTTGGAAGAATTGGAATTAAGTGCATTCAACACGATGACTTGAATTGATTCGCTCTTTCTGATGGGCATATCTCGACAGAGAATTTCCACCTCGCGCAGCCCTGCCGGTCTACAAAAGGGTGAGTAAGTCATGAAGCACGTTAAAGTAATGTTGACTGCATTCGTTTCACTTAAGCTTACTGTTCGGGTAGAAAGCCGAGCCCTTTGCACAGTTCTTCGCGTGTGAATCGCTCATTCTTGTGGGAGCTGATTTGAGAACAGCGGCCCTATAAAAGTAGAAAGCTTTTGTTAAACCTTTGTATGGGTTGCTTACGTCATGAGTGATTGTTAATGATTTCACAAATGTATGGTCATTGACCTCGTTTTGAAGTTGTTGGATGGAAAGTATTTAAGCTGCATGACAATTCATTCACCTCCTGGTTCGGCTTCTCCAACATTTTCGCTTTCTGATAAATTTGTAATTCGTCATTTGTTAATTATTGTAAAGTGTGAGCAAAATACAGTCGCTCAGTGATAGTGGAAAATTGTTTAGTTTATTCTTCATGGTTTGGCAAAATATAGTGGCATGACTAATCTCTTCTCCATACTAGAAGAAGGTTCGGCATTCTGTTCTCCTACTTCCCAATGAAAGAGGTACATGGATTAAAGAACAGACACTACCAACATCTTTATATCTCGTATGATGTTAAAAATTGTGTGCTATGGTGGAAAACAAAATGTGCAAAGACACTTCCGAAGTTCGGTTGTAGTTTGATTGTTAGAGCCGACAACTCACCCTAGCCTGCTTCCGATCCATACCCCATAGAACTAGGAAATTTTCATAGTCCTTCAATGTGGCGTCTATCAAAACACAAAAGGTTAATGAGCCTTTGTAGGTTAGAAGTGAAACACAAAATGAGAAGTGGATGGATGTTGGGTATTTTACCACATTCAAAGAATAGTTCAGTTCATTTCCTCATCTACAAATTGGACTTTAATATACCAACTACTGTTGTGCAATTAAATTTTTTGTGCCCTAAAATCGCCTTCCCATACATGAGTGTCATCAGCTACTGAAAGCATCGCTTTCAGTGTCAATGTTGGGTTTCGGTGGGCCTACCTATCCGTGGCCCGATGTTGGTACTCAAATGGTTGCGACGTTTTGAAGTTGCTTGATTAATAAGCTAAACTGCAGAGTTGCAGTAACACGCTCTGCTTGTCGTTGAGAGCAAAACCAATGGGAGTGCATTTTTATACAACTGGTTGAATGAAAAAGGTCAATACTTAATTAAGATCTTCATAATTCCCTGCACATAAGCAATGCAAGCATATACAAAACGTTTCTTACTGGGTTGGGATTCAATCAGCTCGTCATAGAGATGAAGGAGGAAAGCAGGCGTGAATTTGTCGTCTGAAGCCTTCTGACGCGATTCCATGCTGATTATTATTAACTGTGCCTGAGATTGGGCGCTTAGGCCTTTATAAATTTTTAAGGGGCGATTTTTACCTGATGGTGTGCGCGTCAAGTGGAGTTTATCAAAGCTCCACTCGAGCCAATAAGCAGCCTTCGGATCTAATTAGTAAAGCCTTAATCACAAATTCGCGAATTCGGCACCGTTTCTCCTCCAAAAGTGGTGATACGCTCATCCCCGTGCGGTGTTATGCCTTGCAGATATGCTGAGTTGCACAGGGACTAAAATTATTCCTATCCGAAGGCTCGCTTTAATCAAGACCAACTTCCTCCTTGACTAACCGTAGCCTCTCAAGCAAATCCAATTACTAAGCTTCTTTCAAAATTTTGTGGGAGCAGTTTATTTGCAAAATCGTTAGCGTAGAGTAATTCTGACCTTCTATTCGCAGCTTTTAGTAAGTAGAAACATTTTTTAACGAGGCGTTATTTGCTCGTGCGTTTGTTGTAGACTTCTTGGAAAGTCTTTCTAATGTTATTCGGATCAGTAATCTCCTCAAAATCATTCCACAAGGCGGTTGCTCCACAAGTCTCATTGCGTGAAACGACCAAGTTACCATTTTCACTTTGCATTTTGCTAGTTTTTATTTGTATGGGATGTGTAAGTGTGAGATTGACGAACGCATCAATCGCCAACTGTAATCTTTGGTTGGTGTGTTGAACAATTTCTGATGCAGCACATTATGCTCCTCCAGACTTCATCAAAAGCAATTACAAAGTCGAGTGAGACTGTGACGCTTAATATGCCACTCGGCTTTTATGCAGCAATTTTATCATAACCCACATTATTCGACATGAGTATGATTGACAGGCCAAGTGGACTAGGCGAATTCAACGATTACCGGAATATTGCTGTAATTGAGGCAACTCGGCTGTCAAAACAATAAAATCGGTATGCTAAACTTTCTTTGTATTTTAATTTTATTTCCGCCGCAGCGAAGTTTTATAAACTATAACATTTTTGGTGTAAAGTTGCTTTGTGTTCTCCTCCGAACGCAAATATTTACTAATACCTTCAGTGTTTCGAAGCAGAGAAACAAAAGACTTCGACTTTTCTAGGTAAACTGACAAAGTTGCCTATGAACTCAGTCATGTGTGCGATGCAGCCTTACTATCACAATTTCACAATCTTTCGGTTGGAATATACCGTGGAATTTAGGGAGTGGCATGAGTGCTGTATACGGAGAAATAGGATTAAGGATTAGCAAATGCACGCAGTACTTTTAAGCGATTCTGCAGATACGATGTCGGTGGTAGCCACACCAAGCACAGCTTACACACTGAGCCGAGGTGTGCCACGAGGTCTGCCACGCCACATACATCCGCAATGACAGAGAGACTGTCACTGCTGCCTGCAAGCCCCGCAGAATGGTCCCACTGCTCTGAAGTCGATGAAATCGGGTGTGGCAGTGGGTGCACCTGACTGCGTTTAAGTCATTTCATACCGCCAAGTCTAACTTGCTTGTCATTTGTGAATTGCATAGGGCAAACCTACGTATTGCTTTTGCGAATGTAATTTAAACACTTGCATTTGGTAAAGTCAACTATTTCAACTTCTTCAAGTGTGCTCTGAATCGTGGGAGGAAAGACGTTAGTGGAATCACTTTTGCTACCAGAACGAATGTTTATTTTGCTTTGACACCCAAATTTCATCATTGTGGTGCAGGTAGAGAGGCAGATTAAGAGCCAAAGAGAAGGCAAAAATCATCTGATGTAGACATTAAAGTTGGTGTCTGCTGTATGCATCGTGATGCAATCCCATGTGCTTGTGCCTCACAAATAAAACTAATAAAATTTTTCATCGTCAACATCTGTACGCGCTTTATTTACTCAGGATCTGATCAGCAACATTGACAAGTGGCTGCCCAAAGTGGATTAGACCATCATATATTTGAAAAAACAAACAGTTTGTCCCTGACCACAAAGAACGGCAGGCGGTAGTAAGAGGAAATCGGTGTCAAATTTGCTGTTAGTCGAAGGCTTCTTTGTGATGGAAGAACAATCAGTGATGTGAAGACTTAATGTTGCTCCTCGCATCTGGTACCTGAAAGGCTCCATAAGTAGTACCTTTGTGGTTGAACCAGAGGTTTGTCGAGATCCTGTACTGGCACAAGCCCCAATAGCCCCCATAAGCCTGGAATATATTCCACTCCTTGCCATAAAGCTTTTCTATACGCTTTTTAGCCCTGAACAGCCTCTCCTAAAAGCACGAAAGACGATGTTGACAGAAATTCTTAGGCTCTTATTCACAAAAACCAACCTTCAAAAACATTTGCGTGTTTTACTTCCTCAGCCCAATGCAAAACTGTGGGCACATGCGCTTGGGCTACTACTACTCAGATTCGACTTTTCCTCATTTTAGCATTTATGTGCTTTTATTATGTTTTACGTGAAGCAAATTGCCAGACCGAATTATAAACTGTCTATGAGTTAAAAAACTACCTTAGGGTGCCCGCCGTGTTTCATTTCCTCCAGAATGATTTTGATGATCGACTCTCGCTGGTGTTGTGGCGCATCCGATTCAATGATGTAAACGTCCTTTAAGAAGGATGGCCTGAAATGGAGCTATTCCATTTATGGTGGATGAAGTTTGGAGTCAAGGAAAATGCTTGCAAAACTCACTCATTCGGGTAGTAATTCAATGCACTGCAGAGATCCTTCCTAGTGATGTATCCGGTCTTCTTAGGATCAAATCGGGGCATGTAGTTCTAGTGGGGAGCAGAGGAAACTCCCTTAAGGGAATGTCAACAGGGCATAGGCGTACGAAACTATGAGTGAGTTTTCCACTCGTAAAAGTGCTCAAACACAAGAACTGCCTCAAATGATGGAATTTAGGCTCAAAAGAAATTCAAGTTAGTCAAAGCATGAAGGAAAAAGTCACCTCAACGGTGTCCTTGGGAATTCCCCATCGCAGGAGATGGTTCCGAAAATCAGTGGTTAAAACTCCTAAAAATCAGATAACAATGACGAAGTGACGGGATGAGGTCTCTTTCAGCACTTAGAACGTACTGTTGGTGGATTCATTCAACTCATCGAAGTAGCGAAGCAGAGTGCTGCAATCTGCGTTTCCTATTGTGCTCATGCGTTTGTAGGTCGCTTGACTGTCAGAGTAGTCTTCTGCAGGCAAATTTTCATGGATCTGTCTCTCACGCTTGCAAGCCAATCTTTATTAGTTTCTGGAAATCATGCCTTATTTCATTGGTGCTGCTACTGCCTTTCTGAGTAAAAAAACAAATGTTATGGATTCTCGCACTGTTTGTTTGAGTGCTGCAAGGCAATTAATCATTCCACACTCCCGTTTGCGAGGTACAATGCAATTGTCTGCAACGGCAAAGTTTTCAAGACTACTGTCCCCGGGGAAAGTTTAGAAATGCTTGAATTTTTGGCAGAAATATTTAAGTTGATTGATGCTAATGCACAGAAGGTAAACAAGAGTTCAACGAAACCCGTCATTTTTGCATTCAAATTTACTGTAAAGTTTAAGGTAAGTCACCGCATTGTTCAACTTGCACGATTCTGGAGTTGCCATAGCTCGTTTCACCACTTGACAATGCGACTCTCTGATCATGGTTACGGACTACATGTTTGCATTTTGCTAATTGTAATAATGACGGCAGTAATAATAACAGTAACAACGAAATCCCTCCTCCCATTGATGCGGATTATTGTTGAACCGTAGAAGAATAGGAGAGCTGAAAGCCACTGCAACTCAGTCACGTGTTGCGTGTGACACGCATTTCCATTGCTCAGTGAACAATCGCCGATGTTGTGGGGGGGCCCTGCTGCTTGTATGAGTCAAACGTCCCTCCAACGTCATGACTACTTGCTCTTTCATCTAGCACCACGCCACACCATCAGCTTTCACTCCTATCAACTCGCCTAGCAGATCCAGTGGCGCATGCTCTACGCAGAGGCGCTCACTCACTGCTACTGTGGATTTTGGTTACCACCTAGGTGGCGGTTCACGCCTGGGCTATTATTGTCTAAAATTCAAGTAACGACGATTATTTCACTCGGGAAGCATTTTTACATCTTCTATTTTCAAAGGCAAAATCTATTTGTGTGAAAAAAATTTTTCCTTCCTGCTTTTCTTACACCACTGGACTCATCTGATGCCCCAAATATAGTAGAAAAAAGACACTATATTCACATGACTAAATGTATAAACGACTTTTCAACGCTTACGAACACTTTACAGTGTCTCGGTAGAACATTCCGTCGATTATTAAGTTGACTTGTTGTTTTAGAAAGCGCAAAAAAGACTGCCTTTCGTTGTTATGCGATGTAGCTAGAATGAATGAAGGAATCTTAGAGATGAGGCCTGACAATATGACCTCATGTGCCATCAATAATCTTCTTATGTACTCCCAGCTTACCGCAATAAAAATGTCATGCGATGAATGTGTTGGCAGTTTCACAGTTAAATTTGTAACTTGTATCAGTGTATGATGGCACCAAGTTTTGTACAATCGGATAAGTTCACTTCCCTCTCACTGGCCTCACTCTGAGACACAGTTGACAATCGGTGCACATCTGCGTAAGCGTCAGTCCTGTCAATCGTTTGTCACGGCAATGTGCCCACACTTTTGTCCGTCTGCTCCTGCAAATTTGAATTTCTGACACCCTTCACTGCGCGTACACCCTTGTGTTAAAATTTTTATGCCTATTTTATACTCTACTTACGCCTATATTCTCGTATAATTTACCAACTATTTTGATAGCAAATGTTTCGGAACGATTAGTCTGCTAATTGAGGGGAACCGGAAACTCACGTCACGCCACATAGAAGCTGGACAGGTTTGAAGTACGTCAATGGCTGCCAAAGCAGTTTCTGTATGCAGAGATGATAGTTTTGCACTGATCCAGAAAATCTTTATTTCACTCTACTTCAGCGACGATTAACACCAACTCCTCAAGTGAACGATCATGTCCTCTAGCATTTCGCTTTGGTCGCACATTTGTGTTGCAGTTGTAACGAACGCAAAAGGCGGCACTGACTCTTTATTTTAACACATATGTTTACAACATTTGATTATTTAATCAGCGGTGGTACCGATGACGGTCCTCCATAAAATCATTGTCTGATGGTGTTTGAAAAACTCCATATACAACTCCGTGGTAGATAAAAGTTAGGTTCGAGCCCGGTTTGTGAGAGCACACTGCCCAGTAGCGTCCCTCGGCTATGTACACATTCCATCCACTGCCATAGAGAGCGTCCAGCTTCTTCTTTACCATTCTTAACTTCTCCTATTGTTCAAGCATCACGAAAAAAGAAAGTCTTTCAAAATGTGTTCATTGGTAGTGGATGGAGGGTGAGGAGCTGGTTTAACTTTTTATAGCATTAAAATGGAACGGTCGCATGTATGGCACCTTACGAGGAGAGCAGAATTATGGCAGAAAGCTTACACACACAAACCTTTTTGGGCTTCTTCGTGGCAAGGGCAGTCAAAATGATTTTGATTACAGATTCCCGTTTGCGCTGAGACATGTCGTTGGCAAGAACTTCAACGTCTCCTAAGAAACCTGGTCTACAGCGATCACATTCTGTACAAGCACTTACTCGTTAGGGTACCAATGGAGGGCGTTGCAGACATCATCGCGTCGCACGAAACCCGTTCCCTTGGGATCGAACATTGCCACATAATTCTAAATGATGGGGATTATAGAGCTGCCGAATTCTTGCCCTCGCTTTGTCTTTAGAGACGCCCCATTTGATTAGGTGGTGGTAATATTCCTCGGTTGGGAGCCCTAATAATGTTAACATTTGTTCAGAAGAGGAAATTAACTTACGTGATTCTGATTCATTTATCTCGTCGAACAAGTGCACAAGGAGATCAGCATCAGGCTCTTCAAACGTCATCCTCGGTGTAGACGTTACAGCAGTAAAGTGGTAACCTATCTTGATGGAACATCGTTTAACAAATCTCTACTTGTTGTTAGCTGAACACACCGATTCTATAGGTCAGGCAGTAATTAAGTTTCGCTAGGCAAATGTCTCACTCCGTGTGAGCTTTGCAATGATGCAAGCTTGCGCCCTCATTCTTTGCTTGCTTGATAAAATCGGATTTTTAGGCTTTTTCATCAGTCTACTCAATGCACGGCTGCTGTGCACAACAAAAGTTGTCACTGTCACCCTCTCAAGCTCTGCGTTACGCCTTTAGTTGCATTACAATGCGCGTAATAATTTACCAGTTTTTAACTATAAGACTAAACACTTGCATCGTGTTGTTTCATTGCCTAAGTAAAGCCTCATAATTAATTGATAATTATTTTGCCACAAAATGAGCCTCATTGCCCACTTTTGTGCTATTGCGCTCCGTTTGAATTCGTTTGAGCTCAAAAAACCTTAATGAGGTGATTTGAGGTAATCAGTGGCGGATCGCTGTTCTATTTTGCTTGAAAAAATGTCACACGTTCATCGAATCAAATGGCGGATGTTTGCCCAGCACAACTTAAAAAGCCGCTAAGTTTTCACTATTTTGCGAGCCTCGCGTTGCATACAAACTCTGCGTATCGCCACAGTGATCGACGGAAGCGCCAACCACACCCCTCAGTGTTCATTTATACAACACCTCTGTGTCGTTCCACAAACTGTCATAGCTCTCCACACCCTTGTTTCACTACAAATTGGTGAGTCGAAGTATCTGGTCAAAGGCAGGCGCTTTTGTTGCACTTGGACGAAACAACACAAAGTGGATCGAAAGATAATGCCAGAATGATTTTATTCTACCCTGTCCAGAGGAAGGACAATTAATGAACTTTTCAAACGCAGATTTAGATTCTATTTATTAATAGCGTTTTCAGTATTTCCTACTTTTCTGCCTACAAAGGGGTAATGAATTCGTGCCTTCTAGCTAAATCGAGTGAGCAATCCTTTGGCGACACCTTATTTGCTTCTCACCCCGTCTTCTCCGTGGTCATCTGCAGGCAAGGTTGAACAAATCTCCTGGAAAGCTATCACTTCAATAGCTCTTGTTGAAGGCTTACAACTAGGTGATAATATTTACGGCAATGTTAGTCGGTGGGTTTTTAGCTTTTCAAGGTATGATTGTAAAGACGAAAGCCCACCTGCTCATTGCATTGTGTTTGTTTAAATGATGGGCGAGTTAACGGGAAGAAATCATTCAAATACGCTCTTTAAGATCAAATGGTCCGCCTCCTTGATCTTGAATGTACTTCATTTGTATCACAAAAGCCCATCCCTGTTGCCAGCCTTACTCCTACCATTTTTTGCTCCTCGCTTCAGAGTGGTTGGATGTTGGTCAAATACACAATGTAGGGGGTCCTTTTGAGAGCTCTTTGTTCCTCTCGTTTCTGTGAAGTAATACCCAGCAAGGAGCAGCGATTACTTCACATTATTTTTCACCATTACTTGCAATTTCGCATACATTGTGTAAAACCCTGTGGCGCATTTTAAAAACACGTGTTATACTACTGCAAAGGCAATTGTTAAGTAAAAATTTAGGGGATTCGTTATCCTCATTTTGAAATTGGTATGCTGCAGGACTAGAGGAAGGAGTCACCATGCCTGTAAATAATTTAACAGCCTCGGACTTTACCGTTGAAGCATTCTATTCAACCAGCTTGAAGTTAAAGGCTTACACGACCTTTATGTCCAAATCCATAATCTTCCGCAATTTTAACTACGCCAGTCATACTACAGCATAGCAAGTCTGTCATGCTTAAAGTCGTTGACATTATTTAACCCTAATTTTACAGCTCAGTAGGGACTCGATGAATTAATTGCTAATATTATGATGTAGCCTTACAATTCTCTTCCTAATGGGCTTTTTAATGCCTGCTGGCTTATGGGCACGTCACGTTGCTACCACCTTATGTAAAGGTAATAAAATTCATTTAGTAGCAAACACCTCAGTAACTATAAATACGTTTTGATACACTAGGCTAGTAAAGGCTAACAATTGAAGCCATATCCGATTTAGCATAAAATCGGTTTAAATACCTTTTAGAAGATGGTCAAGATGAACATCACGGTCAAAGTGGTTTTCGCAACAAAGAAACTAACTGGAGTAACATCGGTGCCCAGGATGACCAAATGATCCGTCGGGATGTATTAGTGGCTGTCGCTGAGCCACTTTCGCACGCCACACACAAGGGAGTGAGTGTCAATCAAACGGAGGGCAGTCTATGCGGTTGACCCACATGTATGCTTAAGCCTGATTCAGCGCTGTGTCATCTTTTCCTGCCGATGAGCATGCGAACTCGTGCATGTGTGCGCGTGAAGGCTTGCAAATCAGTTCATCTTTCTACCTGACATTTGGCACACAGTCTGCCCTCTAATGCAATTAGGCTGACACTTGTATCCGCATAATACTAGTCTGGCATCTTTGGAGCCTATAGTTAGGCGATCATTAGAGGGAGAGTAGGCGATCAAACATCTCATGACGTGTGCATCTTTCACTGGCATCTCACAACGCATGAGTGACTCAGTTGCGGTGTGATACGCCTTGCTGTGGGCGAACTGATTAGAAGCGCATACCATTTTGACCATTTAAGATATTAATATGTGAGTCAAGACTAGCATCAGCACCCAAAGACATACGTTCTGTGCAACATGGGCAACCTATCAAAACCTCCCAGGTTGTTTAAGCAAGCATCATGCTACGGCCAAAAGCAGAGACCACTTATCTTAGCCTTTTCCTTTGGTCCGGATGACATTGACTTTCAGACTCGCCGTAAATTCGCAAAAATATCATTCAGATTGTTCCTCCTGGTTAATTGGTGGCTGTATCTCGGCTGCTGATCCTTCTGCATATATGTATGGAAGCTATCATGTCCATGCAAGACATTATCAGCAGTACGCTAGTCTTTACCAAATTATCATTATAAAACTTGAGATATGGTTATAAAACACTTTTGGGGACTGCCTTTTCAAGTTAGTCAAAGTAACCACAAAGCCTTAAGCTAAAACTTGGACACCGAAAGCATACGCTAACCAAATTCACACCAACACTTAAACATGATGAGAGGTTAGTTGTCGGCAAAAAGTCAGCCGCGTAGGTTGACGCGCGTTGGTAATAACGAAGATAGTAGCAGTGAGCTTTATTGCCTTTAAACAATAAATCTACCCCGTTGCAGTTTTACTACTCATTACCATCAAAGGCAAACACCTAAAGTCAGTGTAAATAAGAAATTAAATATTTGAGCAAGCAATTTTGTATTTCTTTCCTGCAATATTGTGACATCAATATGTTGATCGGCTACAATCGCATGGCGCAGAAAGTTGAGTGCCAATTTTGTGGTGATGCATAGGAATCGGGAATCGGAATTCGGAACCTAGTAAAAAATAGTGCATGCTTGACTGGAATGTTTATGAGGTATGGGCCAGAATAACGCAGTAAAAATTCTTCACTTTCTTGGGCTAAGATTGTACGAATGAATTTGCTCTTTATAAAAAAGTTTCCCAAAATAGTGACTCTTGAACATAAACCTTATTTTAAACGGCTTCATCCGTCGTCGAAGTTGGAATTTTTTCCAAAAATCAGGGTGCTTCAAAAAACGAGCACAGAATTCGCTAAAAAAGACTAAGCATAGGGAAGTTTAATATTTTTTAAATTTTACCTGGGAATTTTGCATTTCTTTAAGTTATATTTTCGTCGTACTTTGCACGCTGTTCAAGAGAAAGTTTAGGTGACTTTAGTTCAACTTCAAGCAATGAGGTTTAGGAAAGCATCGCATTCTTAGCTTAATATCATTGAGCAGAAAATCAAATTACTTAGAGCTGCGAGATTTTGCGTCACTTCATTCCCTATTTTTAACAAGTTTCACTTTAGTCACTGAGATTCTCGTACTGTATAATGCACTTTTAGAGGAACTGTGATTTTTCTCCAAAATTCCGCACATTTGATTGACGGAGAATCAACGCTGATTAGGCGTTGTTCACACTAAAAATCGACCAAGATTTTGTGATGATTGGATTTGGGATTGTAAAAGATTAGGTATGTATTATATTGCTTCGTTTGAGAGATAAAATCTAGAGACACCATCATTACTATGAAAAAGCACAGAAGTGAGCACTTATACGAAAACAAAAGAAGGCAAAATTCTTGGAGGTCTAGAAAAGGCCTTCTTCTCAAAAACGGTGCTACTATTTCGAAAGTTTTATGCTGGCAAATCCACCAAAAGCCGGTCGCAACTTGAGTGCTCAAGGCGCCAGTGAACGTGATTAGATGCTCATAATCGCGTTTAAAGTGGTCAACTAGTTTTAAGGCATTTCGACAAAATCTCCGCGCAAATTGCCACAATCTTAAGTGGAAATTTATCCATAAAGAGTAGTGTTGACGCAAAAATGGGCATTGCTGGAGGTTTGGGTGTGGTTGTGCAATAAATGACCGAGACTGAAGGCGTTTCCTTCAGCCACCGCAAGCGCTTAGTAGCACAATTACTATGCTGAATTCATTGGTCGAAGTTAAGTTTTTATTTGATTTAATTTTTCGCCTGATAAAACACTGTACTCATCATCTTCATCAGAACATTCTGGATAAATGACAGTGAACAAAGCGAGATTCTGACCGATTTGAAGCAGGTCCTTTGCTCTGTTGCAGTAAAGTAGGTCACGAAAGTGGATGCGGTATAATTAAAATGAGATGGAATGGAAATCTACAGTATCTACCTACGCATGAAGTAATCAGTAGGTCCTTTGACAAGGATGTTCTACAAATTGTCAACTGCTTTAAAAATGTCATATACTATGCCCTCGTACCCAAACACCAAATTCGTTCCAGGCTTGTAGATCTTTAATGCCCAACACCGGCATTCGGCCATAAAACATTTCCAAGTGGGGCCAAGCATTCCATCGAGACAGTTTATGATTCCACCAATCTGAATCTATTTAATAAAAGGAAAGGAAAAGTATGTAAATGCATGCTTTGCTTTTGGGAGAGTAATGAAGGCGCTTACAGCCCTAGAATCAGTTTTGGCTAATTCGCCCTCGACAATCACCAGCATTCTTCTCATTACATCCCCCGTTGTTTCGCAATACATAGTATTTGGAGGAGAGCCTGGAGTCCATTGGTGCTCAGCCGGCATTGAGCAACCATCGCTTTTAGTAGGTTTGAAATCATTTTCGCACGTAAATCTTACTCGAATGCGATTGTTAACCTCAGCTCATGTTCGACAAGGCTGCCATCGAAGAGGATACAATTAGGAGATTGTTGTTTTTTCTTCATGAATTCTATTCTGAATGGTATGAGGAGTCGTGTGTTTAAATCGCATGACCCTTTTGGTGCTACTGCTTTCACTGGTCTACACAAACGACAGACGAGATTAGCTGTTTACTGCACAAATGACCATTTAGAATTTTGCCAAATCATTGCATATATGTGATGATTACTATCTTGTAGTGATGTTAACTTCAAGGTTTGTGACTGACCTTTCCCATGCAGCAGTGTGCTGCTCGCCTCCGAGCCAGTATGATGAACTCTGGACTCTTCAGAGCACCTAACCTGGATGTGGCTGCTGGTGCATGACTTGGCATTTTGACCTACACGACATAGTGACCCAGGCACCCTGTCGTATGATTCCTACAAGTTCAACTGTGTTGGATAGTCTTTGACATTAGTTTCCAGCGTTGCAGGAAGACTTTCAATGCGTGCAGAATTAACAATTTTCTCAAATTCTTTGACAACATTTGTTGTTCTTACAGTTGTTTTCCTGTTGCATTACACAGATTGAAGAGCAAAAAAATATTTTTTTAACTTTGATATACTTCTACGCGAATCAGATCAGAGGACCAAAGGACCGACAACGGCAGCCCCCTGAACTGAGGTCAGTGGGGTTAGAGTCGTGGACCGCATGGGCAATCAATCAACTGTGTCTTCTTCTTTTCATATCTGTCAAATGTTTTATGTTTCCTATCAACGGAGAGTATCTACAGGTTATTCCATGTTGGGAGCAAATGAACGACTGATTCGGAATAGGGAACATTTAAAGATACAAAACTAACGAACTGGTGGTGCTGACTTGAAGACAAGGCGGGAAAAAAATGAACATTGAATTTACATTATGGACTTTCGAGGTGCGCAGACACGCTGTCTCATGTGGGATGGAAGAACCTTCCACTGTCAGACGGGGCGTTACGCGGGAAGTGATCCCCAAATGGCTCGGAGCAAACGGATGCCAACAACGCGCACGACACATTCACTACCCTTGCATTATCCGTGAATATGAATAATCGTATTTTAAAAGCACAGTTTTTAACACCAATACAAAGGGAAGGTCTCGAATTTGTGGCTCGTGAAATGCGGATGTATGAGCCTATTAGCAGTAACCAATGCGTTTACTCAATATGCAACAAACAGAAATGGGCTGGCAATGCAGAAATGCAGACTTCGAAGTACTCGGCCATCACGATTGTTCTTATCTGTGCGATTTAATGCATTGAATAAAATTGCAAATTCTGGAAACTTGAGAACAGTTGCAACAACATGGGATTTAGGGTTTGTGTGTGTTCGAAAACATTCAGCTCCAGTAAGAAGCTGTGAAAAGGGAAATCGGAACGCCTTCGGGTGACGTCATTTAAGCCTCGAAGCAACTACTTTGAATTGGTCAGGATGGTCGTCACCTGCAAAATGTGAGTTGCTGGTAATCTGAATTAAAAAATTCAAAATCTTGACTGTGGTGGGAAGAAGCGACTGAAAATTTGGCTCTGAAGGCGCCTACTTTTATACTTTCAGTGACGTGGCGGCACTATCAGGATTAGAAAAGGCGGAACCTTGGTTGGGGATCATTCGAAGTACAAAGTGGTTAGGAATTGTCCCATCATAGTGGTTTTGCTAAAGGTAGAAATTCTTAGGCATTTATTAAGCTTACTAAAGCGTTACCACTAATTTAGGCATTAAAATACTATTTCAAAACGCACTCTGCTTGCATGCGGTCACATCAAAGCGACTATGAGAAGGCTGGGACGCTCTAGCGGCAGTGCTGTTGCCCAATAGGAGTTTTAACAAGTTCTGTAAGGCACCACATGATGGAGGTTAAGGTGAGGCGCAGCAAGTGAGGTAAGGTGAAGACAAATTGTGTAAATTAAGATCTGGATCACATAAAAATTATTTCACTGTCAAGTTGTCACCACAATTAGCAAACCTTAAAGCAAAATGATAACTTACGTAGGGGTTTCGGCGTGGCGCGTCAAATGATAGCGCTTCGGTATGGAAAAGAAGCAGAGATGCAGCGTGCACGGAGAGACACCCTCTTTAATCCAATTAAAATTTCCCACTTTTCATGCGCAGAGCAGCACGCATTCCCCCATAAAATGTGGTGAGGGCACAAAACCCATTCCTTATGAATAGCAAATACGTCATGCATTCCTCTTGACATGAAGAAAATAGTTTCACTTATATTGTTTCCTACTGTCAACTCCTTGTCGCAAGTGGACTTTCCTATCGAAAGTTGTTTCTATCGAACGTAACCCGAAAAAAAACCCTTGCATTATTGGCGCTAGCGATGGAAACATGTTAAAATGGCGTTATTTCTTCCTTTACCGGTTTCCTAGTCTTCTTTTAGCCTTCATTTCTCTTCACTCAGCGCAACTACGACGAGTGCGCATTATCCTCGTCAGGTCACTTTATACGCACAAGCTACCCTTACTTTGAGAGTAAAAGTGATTTGACGAATAGTGATAGCGGAGCGAGACTGAATTGGGTGTAGTTTGTATGAGTTTGCAATCATTGCTTGTAGTACTATTTTTAAAAACAGTCTTCATTGAACTACTTCCTTAGAATTTTGAAATGTATTCGTCAAAGACAACATGTAAACGCCTCTCTCCAGTCGAAAAGTGAATCTAATAATTATTTCAAAACTTTGTAATGTCTGCTATAAACTAGAATGTACCGTCGTAGCTATATTTTGCTGGTTTATAAAAACGGATATTTCTGAGAACAACATTCGTATTTGACATCTTCCGATAAAAACCTACACGCTTATTTTGTGTAGAGACATGTTTTGGTAAATGAATAGTGCAGATCAATAAAATACTCCTTTTTTAGTAAAGTTGATGGCGTTAGGGCGTCATTGCTCCTTCGCAGGGTCTATCTTAGCACTCTGAAGGAAACATTGAATGACTTTTCCTAAAACGCAAATTACCTGAATTGTGTCCAAGCCTTTATTTATTGTGGCACCTTAGAAGGAAGTGGCTTAACATTAAATCAGGTGTTGAATCCAAGGTCTGGACAAATGTTGCTACTTTGTCATATGAGTTGCTATGACAGCATTGTTAGTGATCCACCCGTACGTACGCAGGGTGTGGCCGCAGGCGACACCGGGGAAGTGGCGGTTGCGAGGGCACGAGCTCTTCAGTCTACTGCTCTCACGCTATTGGTGCGCTGGCACCGGTGTCTCAGACACACGCACACACGCGTGCGCACGGAACCACAAGCACCGGTGCGCACGAGTGGGGTACGGTCGTCGTCTTTGCATTGCGTCGGACTCTGTGTTAGAGCAACGGTGCCATCGGTTCACAATGCCTTTCTTAAAGGTCATCTTAGTCCTTTTTTGGCTTGTGGGAACATGGACACAAACTGCACCGACAATGACTTTGCAGATGATCCTTGAGTCCTCTCCTGACCTTTCTATGGTAAGTCTGTGCATCTGCTCAAGCACAATATCGTAAAAGCGATTTTGTTCTACGCAAAGAAAGGAAGCGATATCTTTTCACTGTAGAGCCTTCGCTCAGTGATAACATCGAGTTAGGCTTCTACTAAACCAAGTCCACAATGCAACTATCTGCAATCATTTACCACTGACTTAAATGGTTAGCGTTGAGAGTGCAGTTATTGAAAATTGGGATGGAGAATTAGCTTATTATTTCTGTCAGTATTCTTTTCACCTCTTTTAAAATGCAGCAAATGGGTTTATTGAGATTTTATTCCTTAAAGTGCATTAGCAAATTGATCGGACCCACCATTTTGACATCTCTCGAAGGCCTAAATGGCACTGTCTCAAGAGTGAGAATAATTTCACATAACTAAAACCTAAAGGCACCTATTTAAAAGTATGAGTAATTGTCCTTTTCATATGACAACTAATGCAGCCGTGGCACGGAAGTGAAAAGCATGTTTATTTCCTTTCTCAGTATAACTTCGATGCGTTTTTCTAACCTGACCAAATGACCTTTCTCATGCAAAGATCACTGACACACGAAGCCTATTTAACGGGATAGATCTTTGGATGAAAAAGCTTAATTAACAGTGAATTTACTTGATACTCTGCAAATCCAGAAAGTTTGCAGGCTTATAACTGCCCTTTCACTGACTTTCAGTTTTGGGCGCACCTGTTGGACTCGCGAATAACTGCTATAAACAATTCGAAGTGTTCGGACGCGGGTCAGTGCCTCACTGTTCTCGCTCCCAGCAACACCGCTTGGAACCTGCGTGCGGCCAGTCTCTCCTGGCCAACACTCTCAATTGAAGAGAAGCAGAAAATTATCTACGGAATGTATCTTGAAAGTGGGCATTATGACTTTTGCCACAAGTTTTAAATCATCAATTTTTTAAACGCATGCGTTTTTGTTCTTACCTGCTGGTGTTTAGTGTAAGATGCAAAATAGTTTTATTTACGCTTCCAAAGTTAACTTTTGATGCTCAGCAAGGTGAACAGGTGAGCTCATTGTAATCGCCACCACTATTAAAGACTTGGAGAGCGTTGCTTACAGGCAAGAAATTAGTGACCAGTACTTTACAATGTAACATCACTTCGCTAATTCAAGCAGAACATCTTCCCGATGAAAAGCAAGGTTTTTTCTACTTAAATTTTGGGACACTTTTGGATATCTTTAAACTCACACATTTATGCACAACGCAACTTTTTGGCTAAAATTATGAAAACTCTTTCCTCTTTTGAGTTCTGGTGCAATCAATTGCCCCCTTCCTTGTCAATTTGTAAAGGTCCAAAGTCAGGTTCAATTCCAACTAAGCTGTCTACGCAGAACTGGCAAACCGGTGGAGTAGCGCTGCCCTTAATTGATGTTGGATTTGGCAAGGGAGCACTTTACAATGAAATAGCTGGTCCGCGTTATGCCTTCTCATTTGTGAGTTTGTAATTTTAACGGTTTGCGACCAATCATCCTTGGTTCACTTACCCGCATTGTAATCTGCTGTGCAGTTGGGGGCCCCGGCGGCGTACTTCATCAACGATGCTAAAGTGGTGGGAGCAGATGTAGATGCAACGAATGGAATGATTCAAATTATGGACAGAGTAATGAACTACCCCTATGAATCCATGGACTTTTTTCAGTACCTAAGCCAGGCTCAAGATTTAACGTATGTCTGTTCATTATGCGTCTGCAGAGATTATACATGGGTCATTGAAATTAAACAAATTTGTGCATTTTCAATATTTCCTATCGAATCGCACTTTATGCTTTAGAAAAATGCTAACATTGTGGAACTCTCTTCGGATAACAGGAACGCCGCTGTACACTCAACTTACTAACCAGATTTACATGGGCAAGAGCCTGTACGCGACGTACTTTGCAGTGCCCGATTCAGTCTGGAATCAACTTCCACCAAAGACATATCAGGACCTTTTGAACAATGAGACCCTTATGATAGATGTATGTGTTTCCCAAGGAGCTGTAAGAATGTCTCCAGTATAGCACAATGCGTGCTTATTTTTTGCCTAAATACAGGTGTCAAACTACTGGCGGCACTTTGAGCCCGTCTAGGTAGTAAAATTATCATTAAGGGTTTGGAAGGTGACTTATTGCTCCCTCAGATGGTTGTCGTCTTTTTATCAGGTACTGTCTAATCACTACGCACCAAACCAGCTCTTCTATCCGCGATGGGTCGAAAATTCAAATGGTCGAACGATCAACTTCTTTGTCGGTTTTCCGGACAATCCACTTCCGGAAGCTGTAAACACTGAAGCTCTCACATCTGGCAAAATGGCCGGCTCCGCTGACGACGGTGAGGTTCTACAAAAATCCAATTTCGTTGTCGTAGTTAATTTGTCAATTTTACAGAATGTCGCAAATGACTATGCGAAGTTTTATTTATTTTAGGTCCACTATTAAGCCCTTAATTGTGTTTTTAAGAGGAGAAGTATTTCATAAAGATGCCGTGGAAATTGATGCCAGCCATTTTTGGGTTTCTAGTTCAAACAGCTCAAGTAGGGAAAATCATTTGTGAATCAGTCTAATAGTCACACTTTCGCTACCCTTTCCTAAGGTCTCAGTAACTTACACTTTAGGCTACAACTTAGTGAACTTTTGATGTGAGCGATTCGCGCCATTTTAATTCTAAACGCTTTTACATGCATGTTTTGTTGCTTAAAACACCCTAGGTAGAAGGAAGGGCAGATAGCTTTTACTGGGTTATATCAGATGGGCACTGTTCATCCATCCAGGAACTAACCTTGTGTTCAATTAGACTCACTGACGATAACGGTGCAAAGCTCCTATGCCAAGACGGTGGGGTCAGCCGTGGTGCTGCGGAATGCTGTGCTCATACCCGTATCTGCACCGCTGGGTTACCTGCCTGAATCCACACAAGATGCTTTGGCTCGCCTCGCACCGTAAGTCGCCATGGCCGCCCTGAATAGCAAAGCTTTCGTGTCTCCTCATTTGTAAACGATTTGAGCAGTTAAACAGTTCATTATTTTTGGATAAATTCTTCGTAAAAGGGTTTTTTCTTTGCGCCAAAATGACAAGCGAAATGCAAAGAAAGACGAAGGGGTTATTTGAACACTGCCCTCTCTTTTTCATGTCGATGTCGTTGTACATTGTTAGTTCTCAATAGTAAAATAGGTTGCTCTGCCATTGTGAAATTATCCATTCATTTCCACTACTCAATGCTCTGCATTCTTGCACTGCTGTATGCCACATTGCGGATCACCAATGCAATTCGAAGGCCGACCACATTACTGCGGATGCATTGGACTAACCTCATAAGCGGACACTGTCCGTGATTTTGGCACTTGCACAGTAGACAAATTTTTTATACTGACCGAAATAAAGAGCTCTGGTCAACTACACGGTCCCCGAAAATAGAGTTCAGAATGAGATATCTTACAAAAAATAAATTCACAAATTGCGTGATCACTTCTGGGTTTGGGAAACGGGGCCCATGGTTGATGCAGTGTCTCCATGTCGCAACCAGGTGGAGTGGCTATCAAGCCAAACTGGCAGCCTTTGGCCGACCTGTGGGTATAACGCTCACATTCTGCTTTGGCTATCCTATTTGCCCATGAAGATTGCCTCCGTACAATGGAGTGTTTACTTGATTACCTGCATTGGTGGAGGTCACTTTTTCGACAATCCTGCCTCTGTGGGAGGGACCGCACCCCAGGCCGCGCCAACGGCTCACTTCTAATCTTTATCTCTTAACACAAGAACTCAACCATCATGTTATGTCTTCAATCGTCCAATAGGAAGTCATGGAAAGCGTTATTACCTAAAAGAATCAAACAAGCAGAAATGTGTGATAGTTACACTATTGTTGTGAGCTGTCTTTCTTGTTCTCGAGGCTTTATTAAATGCAAAATAGAAGTCTCCTGTCAGCCCTTTGTCAGCTAACTTCCTGCTAAGTAGTAAGTGGGTGACTCTAAATAGTCTTGAATCCAGATCTCACCGAACAATACATACGCCGGACATTGCTCAACTTTGACACAAGACTTGAATTGTACTACTTTGTTCGAATGTGAGAAGATGCTCTTGTTCCAGATTCCATTCGATTTGCCAAAAATATGCTGACATCATTGCAAACGCCTTTTCAACGGCCACAATTTGCAATGGCCATGACTTAGTACGAACTTAGCGAAGCCACAAATTGCGAAATGTCCGACAGTGACCGGAGCTTAGACGCGAAAATGTGAAGCGTAATTTGGAGTCGAAACCTCCGAAGCATTTGATCGAATGTTCTTCAAATGTTGCAAACAACTTTGACAACTTGCGTCTCCTCACTTTGCGCAGATTGTTCGTGGACACTTCTCGATTCTCTTTGCATGAATGTTCTCATACGTTGCAACTTGATAAATCCAGTCATCTTGTGGCTTCAATTCTGAGCCACTGTAGTCCCTTTGCTACTATTCTTAAACAAACTCATGAATTTTCACTCCAACTGGTGTCTACAGTGCTTATCGCACCAAGAGCTATCATGCCTTATGGGAATAAGTGCTGCCAATCCAAGCTACCAAGCCTTATTCCAGTTGTTCCTCCATAATAATGAAAAAATCGGTTTTTAGATATCTTGATGTTACTTTTTTGCTACAAAATCATAGGACATTTCTTCGTGTATGTACTTTGGATACCGCGTGCAACGCAATTTTACAGTCAACTGCAGAAAAGACTGTCTTTGCACCAGTCGACTGGACTTCCTTCAACGCTCTCTCGACAGCTAATCAGGTAGAGCATTGTGAACATGGAGTCGGATTGCCTTGTCATCCAAAGCATCACCATCAACTTTTATGTGCACCCCATTTGTGTCCGTGCTGTGCTGCGAGAGTACACACGTTGATGGCATCTACTTTCGATGCATTTTTGAACGGATATTTAGGAAAAATGGTTAATTGTTTACTTTATCACTGGAATTAGTCTGACATGAGTAAAACACAATACCAATCACATCAACGACCTCAATTCTAATTGAAAATTTCCTTCCAACCTTTAGAGTGAATATTTGAAACTGATGATTATTCCTGAGAGAATTCTAAGGCCGCAAATGACTATGGATAAATACGTCACTGTGGGAAGCGTCTCAGATGCAATTCGGTTTCGAACAAGAAACAATGGTAGGTTTTACTCTACTTGTGTACATCAATTAAGTGTAAATGGGTCTCACAAGAAGACCGAATCGCTAGCAGCTGCCACACTGGACGTGCGTACGCCCGGGAATTATGCTTCAACGCAGCCCTGCTACTTAAAGTAGCATGACATGCATTGCCATCGTCATAATTTGGGTGTTTATAAACTTTAAATGCTGGACGTTTTTGGTACTTATCAAGTGAAATAT